GACTTTGAGCTCTAAATCTAAGTCCAAGCACGATCATCAGCGACCAGAGCATGCTTTTAGAAGTGAGAGGAACAGACTCCTGCAGACGGGCTGCCACCGGGGCCATGATGCACTATGAGAGGTCCATCGCCGGCATTTTCGAAGGACAGATCTGGACTACATGCAGGGTGAACCTCGGAAAAGGGATGGCCCGCACTGCAGCAACACCGAACAGCAAATGCTTAAGCAAGCGGCGAGATAGTGGGTTACGCCGGTCACATCTGCCGGCGGATCCCAACTGATAGATCCAGCAAGTACATCTTGGTTGTATCCAGGACAAGATGGATGAGAAACACAAAGAAGCCGCGATAGGCCAAGTCACACAGCGCTGGGTTTTCATCATTAAACTGTACATTGGTGACCTGGCTTGTGACATCATGCAGGAGCCGTGATGTTGGTTCCCACTCCACACTAGCATGGCGATGGACAGGAGGGTCGCCTGACCAGCGGCTATGGGCCCCGAAGCCCACAAAACGATGCAAACGAATAACCTTAGATGATATCAACTGCAAGGACGTGCGTCTCAAGACAAAGCACACAAGCAATGCAAATGGTCCTCCTTGCTGGCTAAGCCACAGTCGCAAAGCTGGCAGCTGTTGGCACTGCTGTTGCAACCGCATAAGAAGCCCGAGCGACTTGTGATGTAAGCCACGCCTGCTGACATCGCAACTGCAATGAAGTTGATTGGTCAGTTTGGTGCACAGCAGCACACCTTCGGCGTGCCACATCTGTACCTGCAGCCTGGCAGCAAATTCTCCCAATTAGGTTGCAACGGCGTGGATCTGCACAAACGCCACCCACGCCTTTGCGAATTCCTGCAACCCTCTGTTTAGAGTAGGGCAGACCTGAGCCATATCTCACGGGGTTTGGTTTTTTTCGCTATCGACTGAGGAGCCAACATGGCTGGGTGCCATTTCCTGCTGAATGAGCCCCCACTAAGCTACTAAGACTGCAGCCGATACACGCGAAGAGCGAGCAAGATTCCACGAAAATTCCAGTACCCCACTGACCCCACTTCTCCGACACTACACATGGCGCCATTTTGCTGCTGGCTCGTTCATCGCCGCTCAAGCTTTCATGAGCGAGGGGACCACGACGCACAGGTGTCGCACAATCGAAGTTATGCTGCAGGCTTCACATCAACAAGCCAGCCAAGGATGGCATCCGCAGCCATCTTCCACCTTGAAAATATCGATTTTTGAACTTGCATGAACACCCGCAAGCTTGTCGAAGCAGGTTGCACAAGTGCCGCACCTTGCTCCCAGCATGGCATCATGCGCCACTCCTTGCTCTTTTGGGTGCAAATCAGGCAAGTTGCGCAGTTTTGCAGGATTTCGCCTGGCAAGATGACGGGCTCCACTCCATGTGCTGCAGCGGCCTCCTCCAAAGCCTGCTCAATGCTTCCACGGGGATCTCCACACACTCGAGCTGTCGCATGCTGTCGCTGAGACGATGCCATCTGATCTGGCACAGCGCCGCTTTTGCAAGGGAACTTGCAGAGGCTGCAACTTCTCCAGGGAATCCAAAGACAAGCATGCTCTTCTCGTGCATCCTTGCAATGGAAGTGGCAGTCTGTACGAGTGCCAGGCAGACGACTTCGGTCTTGCAGTGAGACTTGCTCGGCAAAACTTTGGCCGATGCACTTTGCTAAAAAGCCAGGGCCTTTGTCTCGAAAACCGGCCTGGCGATCGCCAAAGCTTTACGCTTTGACCTTTGACGTGTTGGCCTTCAAGCGGCGTGCGGTATCCAGATACTGCGCACGCTTCACAGAGACTGCACCGCAGGCCTCAATCCAAGGTTGGACGAGGTTGGCGTACAGGTCAAGAAGCCACCTGACTCAAGGGTCCATCAAGCATGATGTGATGGCTGAACAACCAAAGCCGAGCATTCGTACCTCTTCTGCCGCTGGCGAGTCAACTTCGCGGCCTGGCACTCTCCAAAAACGCCTGAATGACTCAATCTGCCTTGAACCGAACTCTTTGGGGAGTTCCTTCGCTCGAAGTTCACCAGCCCGGTGGGATAGCCCCTTGCGAATCAGGTACATCTCCTGCTTTCACATCTTTTCACAGGGTCTTGCTGCAGGTGTAGATCAGAACTCTTCTTCTGGCAAACAGCTGCGAATGCTTCCAATATGAGCGAACATGCAAGCGGACCTAGAGAATCAAAAGCAATGAAAACCCTCTCCTTCCCACTTGACGACCGGGATCCCAGACAAAGTGTGAGGAAGTTAGGCAAGACAGCTCTTGGACCAAGTCGTCGAGTTGCATGATGCTAGCATCCAATGAGCAATGGACAAACGCACAGACAAGCACATCGTCGCGACGAGGGCAAAGCCTGTCTGTTGAGGCGACGCAAGATGCGCCAGGCTCGTGGGCGAGCTGTGCTCAACGTTTGTCAAAGGCAGACCCCCAACCGTGAACACAAAACCCGCTTCTTGGGACACTGAGTCCTCTTGATTCCAACTAAGAGTCACTGATAAGATGCTTGGAGCTTGATTGCTTCTGGCATTGCGATCAAAGTTGGAACGGTCGTGGATTCGAACTCGATTCGAGTCTTGATTTGGTTCGCGTCATTTGCTTGGCTTCTTTCTCGGCGCATGCGGTAGTCTAGTCGTCAGGATCCAAAGAGTAAGCATCAGGAACACGAATTAAGGAGCCAGCACGCAGTCCTCAGCCGCAAATTTTGGTCCCATCCGAGCGAGAGGTAAGAGGAGGAAGAGGAGATGCACGGAGGCCTCTGAACTTCTGAACACGCGCGTCGGGTTGCACACAAAGTGCAAAGGGCATCTGCGGCATCTGAGGTTCCAGCATCTGGCTGCTGCTTCATGAAAGTCAGGAAACCGTTGTAGCTCACGCCACCTCAACACGTAAATGGGCATTGGCGGGCCAGCAAGGCACCGGTCTACCTACCACACTTGAAAAGTACTCGAAATTCGTACACAAAACCGAGTCGTGTACTGGACTCTTCGAATGGGACACGCTTCCAACGTGCCTCACGGTTCGGAGCACTGCTCAGGGCTTTGCTGAAAGGCTGAGGGGTCAACACCGCAGGGACTCTCGGACCGCAAAACGCAGGCATGTGGGGCTGCGCAGGCAGCGCCGCGCCTCACTGCGCTGGAGCGCCAAGCTCAGAAACCTCGAATCGAAGCAGGCAGGCAAGCTCTCTACGAGAATCGCATCTGCAAGGGGACCGCTATGGGGAGCGGGCTCCGCAAGAGAGAGGACCTGCTGTTCCAAGCTGGACTCGGACTGAAGGAGCTCGTTCGACAAAAGGAGGCGCAGGGACTGACAGAGGCTTTGGCTGGAGACGCCCCGGCATGTCGAGTCGTCCAGGAAGCGCGCCGCGGCGCCGGCTGAGTGGTGGACACCCTCGTGGCCCACCAAGACGCAGAACAAGAGCCGCGAGAGGAGCTCGGAGCCGAGGTAGGAGGTGGCCACATCGGAGCCGGAGTCCGGTTGAGAGAGCGCCCGCATCAGGCGGTAGAAGACTTCGAAGGGAAGCTTCTCCTGAAGCCATGCTCCGTCTTCCTGATCGTCATCATCCATTTCGGATTGATTGCTGGCTCCCGTCTGCGAGCTGCAGGGGACAGCAAAGAGGAAGTATCTGGCAGCACGCTGACACGCTTCCTTGCGTTGCATCCCGAATAGAGCCAGGAAAGACGTCAAGTTCTTGACCGTCATTTCTGCAGGTGAAATGCTGTTGAGAATTCGAGCACGTGTCTTGACCACTTCATCATATCCAGGCTTTGTACGGTCCGCAGCTTTGTACTGTGACTTCTTGATCATGCCCGAGTTCAGCATTGCCAGGCTACTGCTGCGCAACATGATCTGTCTGGCATCTGTTTGAGACAAGCTTTGCGCGATCATCTGCCTTCTCTCCATGTCATCGTCGCTGCTGGCGGCACTGCTGGATTCCTTTTGATCCTCCATAGTGATGACCTCCCAGCTACCAATCAAGACCCTCTGGTCCAGTCTTGCCAGCAGCCTTTTGGTGACATTCTCCACGTCGGAGGGCCCAGAAGGCCTCGTCACCGAGCGTCCACGTGAGGGGCTGTGGCCACCTCTCGTGTGGCGGCTGTGCTGGCTGTGACGACTGTGGCGACTGCTTCGGCTCTGATCTTTCTTTCCTTGTGGCATGTCGGCTTTGGGCCTCTGAAGGTTGAGAATAAAGGTAAAGCTCTCCATCCAGCTTGCAAATGACTCTGCATTCAGGGCCTGGGCCTTAAACCGGTGGCCCAAGTCCAAGTGGCCAGCTCCTTTTCCTGCCAGCCCAGCCTCCTTCAGCAAGGAGCGTGTCTTGTAGAGCTCACTCCGAAGAGCCTCAAACTTCTTGTCGCCCTCGAAGGAGGGCGCCTTCACACTGATCATCTCGGGTCTCCGCAAGCGCGGTGCCGAAAAGGACTGTGTGCGACCTCTCCTTACAGGTCGCTTGGTGTTCTGCCTGGAGGTTAGGCAGGAGAGGCTTTGCGACGTCGGCAACTCGATTTTGTCCATAAACATATCCTGCTCTCTCCTTTCTGGCAGCTTGGGCAAAGCAACTGCTTCCGGAGGATCAGAATAAAAAGCAAAGATCTCAAACCACTCGTAGACAACATCGATCGGGTCTCCGAAGGTCATAACCAACTCATGAAGCAGGTCATCAGTGCGTTTCTGTCGCTTTTTCCGAACTTGGGACGCACCAGAGTCTGCCGAATGAGCTCCATCGCCGTTCCAAAGAAAGGTCGTGCTCCCATGAACACCCGCCTGCACCAACTTGGCAGGTGTCGCGCTTGCTGGTCTCGTCGGTCTGTTTGCAGCACTCCCTCCGCCGCCGCTTCGTTCTCGGACGCTCGTTTGTGCACGGGCCTCTGCACGGGAAGCCATGTGCTTGCCGTATTTGTAGCTGTATACATCCAAGCCTAGCACGAAAGGTACAGGATACATCCCACCTTTGGGGGTCACTGTCAGAGGCATGGTCCAGCTATCCGGCGCATTTACTGCGGACGCCAAAGTGTCCTTAACTATCGCGTCTTCGACCATTGCGGCTTTCGGTCCAGTGGTCGGCAAATCAGATCAGCTGCTCGCAAACTCGAAGAAAGCCAGCGAACAATCGCTGCAAGTCTCAAGCCACAAGCCCAATCTGTCCGGCTAAAGCTGGAGCCCAAGCAAAGGCTGCAGGAGAAATTAGTCCCACGACACGTCTCTTGCTGAAGCTGATTTTGCATTCGCATAAAGCCTCCTTGTCTACGATTACGTCTGCATCGCCTGGCACCGAGACGCGCGGCAAGACTCAAATCTGTTGGTAACAGACCCAAGGCCTCCAAGGACAAGCACCGGCGCATGGCCGCAGGCTTCCACTGGTAGCGACCTCCAGCAGTATGACTTGGAGGCAGCCTACATAAAACCATTCTCAAGCCACCTCTGCAGCTGGCGCAGGTCTAGCAATCGTGTTCCTTCGGGACAGCCTTCCAGTGCAGAAGAGCGTAGAGCATGAGGCATCTGCCACATCGACTGGCAAAGCCTGTCCTTCTTTCATCAGGTCCATGTACTTTCCGACGTCTTCCACAGGGGTGTCCGCATCGAAGAATAGCTGTAAAGCGAGGCTGAACATGGCTACAACATCTCCGCCAGAGCGTACGTGCATGTCACTGCATCAGACCGCATGGCATCAAAATGGAGAGGCAAGGAAGGCCTGTCGGCAAAGCTCTGCATCTCTCTCGAAGGCACGTGCAACGAAACCCCAGGTGATGCGCAGAGCTTGCAATGGAGCTTTGAAGAGGCTGCGAAGGATGATGCCGACATTGCCCGCCGGCGGGACGGCGCAAAGCAGAATCAGGCCAGCCAAGGCCCCCGAATCCTTCAAGGCCGCGGCTGCCTGCAGCACTATAAGACCACCGAAGCTGTGGCCCAGCAGGACCACCGGCTGCCCGTGTTTTTCCCGAAGATGATGAAGGTAGGCCTGGATGTCGGATGCGTGCTCCTCTAATGCACCAGCCACGGGAAGCTTCGGGAACATCTTGCCACGTCCCTGCCCTCGCAACGACAAGGCATACGTGTGGAATCCCTGACCTCTGAAGAAGCTAAGGAAATGTTCCTCGTAGCACCACGCTGCATGGTAACTCCCGTGGATGAGTAACAGTGTGACTGGCTGGACTTTGCCATCGCCTTGTCCGCCGAGAACTTCCAACTCGATATCGGGAGATCCAGGCACAGGAAAGAGGTCGCACGAGGGAGCAGAGCCGCTTGCAGCAGAGGCGGTGCATCGTGCTCGAGATCTCGCGCCCAATGCTGCACCTCCGGCGAGAGCCCACCAAGCAGCACGTTGGCACCCGCCTCCGCGGCCGTGTCGACTCTGGTCCCATGGCCCAGGCCGCTGTCCTGGCTGTCCTGGCCCTAATCGTCCAGACGCTTTGCTCAGACCTGCCACTGCACGCCAAGTTCCGGACGCCGGCCACGGAGGTGCTGCGATCATCGCGAACCGCCGTTGTCAGACTAGAGTGGCAGGGAGCACTTTGCGCGCAGTTTTGTCTTAGCGTTCTGCCCGCAGAGCCTGCGGCGGTCTTGACTGCGACCTGATCTTTTAGGCACAGCGGCAGCTGGTGCTGAAGTGCAGCTGGAGGGATATGATATGTGTTGTCATGTGTTGTCTATGTTTGCTGGGAGCAGCTGGCTCCGATGCATGACTTGTCGCCACAGACATGACCGGGAGACAGTAGTAGCTGTGGAAGAAAACAATCCTTTTCACTTCGAAGTCTTTTCATCTTGGCAGTCTTTGGCACAGGGAGAATCAGGCGGCTTCAGGCAGCAGCTTCCTGCGGACACGCAACCCGGAGAATGCAGAGTGCCCCCGATGCGCCCCAAAACCACTCCGGCCTTAGCTGCCATGGCAGCGCCCTCTGCACGCGCATCTTCAAGGAAGCGTTGACGTCCACCTCGATCCGCACCGGCAGCTCCCTGCACCATTATACGACATGAGCCCAAGAGCAGAGACACCATGAGACCATATGAGACCACGAGCATCTCTTTTCATGGCTCACGGCAGCAGCTCTCGCCGGGCCTCAGCTCCGGATCACGGCGCAGCCACCGCGCCGCGCGCTTCCGGCCATCGTCTGAGCTCGGGAGCCGGTACAAGGGCCTCTGACAAAGGAAGAGCCGCCGCGACCGCAAAAAATCGCAGAGATCTCTCACAGCACTCACAGATAAGGAGAAGACGTGAACCACTCGTTCTGGTAGCACAACCTGAGCACCCGCAGGCGACGGATGAGGACTCCCTATCCATCTTGTCCGAGGGGCATGTCGAAGACCACAAAGGCACGCAGTAGGTCCGTGGGCATCCACTCGCGCTGAAGTACCTCTGGATGAAGGCCAGCAGATTTCGTTTGTAGCAGGAGCCCCACGGGCTCATACACGCCTGCTGCACGTCCCTCTTCCGCCGGCGCAAGAACTTCTCGAACTCCCGGAAGCGGGACTGGAAGTCCTCAAGAACAGCTCGCTGCTAAACGGCTAGAAACACAGAAAGGGACACTTTGGTGCCCTTGGCTTTGCACACAAAGTATGCGAGGCTTGCAGGATTCAGGGTGTAATTAACACGATTTCCGACATCGTGTGTAGGATTAACAGGACTAACACAGTGCATTCGTGAGACGAAAGATGAGGCCATGTGAGCAACAAAAAAGGGCTCGCCCCGTTTGGTTCTGTAACCAACTCACACTCTGAAGCTTCTGCAGACTCGAGCTTCGCCGAATTTCGCCGACACTCTGATGCTTATGAAGAGTCGAGCCTCCTGAAGACTCGAGCGTCAGAGCTTCAGACTTCTGTCTGGAGCTCCAAGCCCCTATAGCCTATAGAGTCTGCGACCTATGAGCCTGCCGCAGGACTAGTTTTTGCAGCTTCCTCCTGCTTCGTGTCATTCGATGCATAAATGCTGCGATTTCCGAGAACGGATTTTGCCTACATCAGTCCCACATCTTCTTCTGAGTGACACTAGGATCATTGTGTCGCAAGTTTCGCCGGAGATGATCAGCACGTAAGATGAACACGATGCTTGTGATGTCTGTGGCAAACCTCAACCCTCAAAAGCTGACCACAAGAACTACGGAACCCTGATCATGATGGCTCGCAGGCTCGCAAACCCCAAATCTGAAAAGGACGATTCAAGCACCAAGCCCTTAAGGATCCACGTAAGACACGGTGGGTGGCAGACCGGACCCCCACTTTCAAGCAATGTACCCCAACTGGTCGAAAGCCCAGTCCCAAACCCTCCGTAACAAATTCCGCCAAATCTGAGCAACTGTAAAGAGGATTGATGGGTGGCAAAAGTACGACTTCACAGGAACCGTGATACTGAGCAGCAGATATTGAGCTCCAAACACACAGCCTCAGAAGCAAATGATGAACCAAACCTTGATATGATATGGTAGGTGGCACGCCCAAAACTCTGAAGTGAGTGCAGAGAACCCTGAAAGGGGTCCTGAGTACCCCTCAGAAGACAAGTCAACGTTTTGGAATCTGCTGTCAAGAAGGAAAGGGGTTCAATGAAATCTCTTGCAACTTGAGCTTTTGCACAAGCCTGAAACGCATTGTCCCCTCCGCTTGTGGTTTGAATTATTCATAAACGGCACCTCTGCACGAATTGGCGAGCCAAGCGAACCTACTGTGAGCAGCATGGTGATGCCTCTTTTCAGAGCGAACAACCGTGTTTTCTAGTCGCTCCGCCGCTCCGCTCCTCCAGCAGCTGCTTCGAATACTCGGCCTTCTTGGATTTCTCCATGGCCCCGAGCTCTTTCTGCAAGGCCGGGAGCGAGCAGGCCCTAAGTCTGAGTCTGAGGGCAACTCACTCACCAGACGCAGTCAGAAGTCTCACGGGATTTCTGGGGCTTCGGCCTGCCGTCGATGCTTGGAAAACCTAGGAAAAACTTCCGGTACGCGGAGAAGATCTCACTCCTCAAGGACGAAAGCAGCAGAGCACGCAAAGCAAGAAACCATTCAGTCATGGCCTGACGGGAAAGAAAACTTCTTGCTGCTCGTGGATCACGTCTTTCAAAGCAGCTTCCAGTGCCTTCGTCCTGTAGCAACATCGGTCAGACAGATCCCGCACGCCTTCTGCATCTGAAACACGAAAACAGTCTCCTTCGGTACTTCTGCACCACCTTCTTGCTGCCACCTGGTCCCAACCAGCTCTACCATGCTGCGGGAGCCTTTCAAGCGAGGCTGCGCCGGCCTTGCTGAGCAGAATGTAAACTAAGGTCCTTGTCGAAGACTGAGGCCTCAGAGGCGCCAGACCCCAGCCAGAGCCAGTCGGAGGAACTCTAGTTCTAGTGACCCAGTGTCGACGTAGTATGACAGCTCCAAGCCAGGCCACGGTCACTCGCAAGCTTCCAGGCCTCTCCAAAGGGTGAGCATATCTTTCGAAACGCCACGTTGTCATCCGATGAAGGCCTGAAATTCTCGTGCTTATCGATTGCCGCGGCAATCTTCCGCACATCAAAGTCCTTAGCTCACGGGAGTGCGGCCCCTGCTGGCGGCGCTCAGCTCGGAAAAGACCCAATACGTCGTGACCGACATCCGTCACTGCGTACCCGCTTTGTGCTGCTCTGGGTCCGACATGTCTGGAACTCTCGTGTGAATCTGGAGCTCGATCTCCGTCCTCGAAGCGTTCGAAACACACAACTTTGGCCGATTTCGGCAACCCTCGGCCTTCGGCTGAAGCTCTGCCTTACGTTCAAGGACCGCTGGTGTCCTGCAACGGTTCAATGATACATGTGATACTCCACACCTTACAGCCTCCAACAGGGCCGCAGCAAAGGAGTCACTGTTGGGAGGCTTTGAGATGGCGCGGGCTGCGCGAGCCCTCACGGCTATCTCAAGGCCAAAGCACTAGAATCACCAGAAGAACCACGACATGCAATGCTGTTAAGGGGTGTAACACGAGTCACAGGACCCTCTTGCTCGCTCATCACCATTGCTTTTGGCCCCAAGTCCTCTAAGTCGCTGCAGGAGGTCATAGCAATTCCAAAGGAGTAGCATGACGACCAGGACGGCTCCAACTGCGGGCAGGGCAAGAGTCCTATGGAACGCTTTCAGGCGCTGTAGGCCTGCGAGCACGAGACTGCAGCAGCAGCTCCTCTTCCTGCCTGGCCAAAGTGGACGCTGATTCCGGGGCATCAAAACCAAGAATGCACAGGCCGAGGGACGTGGCGGCTTGGCTGCCGAACCTCTGGAAGTCGGGTTCACTCACATCTCAGTGGGCTTGCTCTGGGCACCTCCCACATTCGCTGGTCCCTGGCGATTGTCAGCCGGAGCCGGGCGGTAGATGTCCGGCGGCGGCTGCAGCGGGATCTCCTGCGCGAACGGAGAGCCCCGGCCCCTGCGTATCTCTTCGTCAAAAAAGAGTCATTCCCTTCACCGAGAGCTCCAGGCCAGCCATGGCCGCTCGCTGAAGCGGACGGCGGCTGCTCAGGCTCTCAGGCGGCCCTCTCTAAAGGCCACCTTGTTTTCTTCAGGCCTCTCTTTCTACGGACCCGAAATGAGCGCCAACACCTCAGCTCTGAGACACAAGAGTTTCCACCATCACGCGGCTGCAGATATGACTGCCTTGCTCTTCTTGGCACTGTGCTCGCCATCTACGCATGCTCCGAGAAAAGCTTGCAAATGGCAGCATGTCGAGAAGGTGCGGCGGCGCAGAAGAAGTTTGGACAAGACACGCTGGCTGTCTTCTAAAGCGGCTCAGCAGAAGACGCTGTCTTTCAATTCCGCCACCGCATATCTGACAAGTATGCATGGCCTTGAGCCGCTCATGTGCAAGCACCATTTCACCAGGGCCTTGGCAAAAGAGGACAGCTAGGCAGCTAGGCTTTTGACATCGATTTCGCGGTGCAGAGGTGCAGGCTTGGGAGCTGAAGCCCATGAGCGGAAACGGCGCTCGAGAAGTCTGAAGGCAACTTGCCTGCCTCTGCGCCTTGGATCGCTGGGTGCCTCTTTCGTTGCATCAGCACTCGACGTATCCACATCTGCGTTGCTGAGCATGCCACGTGTTTGAAAACCTCGAGGGTGCTGGAACTCCAGAACCCACGCATGAAGCGCATGGCGAGACATAGTGGTCGTTGCAGGCGCACCATACCCCTCATCGGCAAGGAGAGGCAGGCCTGCATGCGAAGCCTGGGCCATGGCACTGGACATGCCACGGAAGAGGAAGATTCTTACAGGACCAAGCCGCATGGACTCGAATTTGATGGGTCCTTCGATGCAACGAATCTTGCGATCACTGGCACTTGGGAAACGAGCTGCCTTCCGGTCAAAGGTCTTGCCATCAACAACGCCACTTTCTCCCCACGAGCCAAGACTGCAAACTGTGTCAAAGCCTGCAAGACTTTAGCCGAAGCTGGATGAAGCAAAAGCTGTCCACCGTCCACTCCGGGCCTGAGCGCCATCGGCGGCCACCCCGTGCCAGCCACCCATGTGGCGAGCGATGGGAACGTGAACCGAGAAGTCTTTGGAAAGATCCAGTTCTGAGTGCTCCTGGAGACATAACGTAACTGAACCCAAAGCACAGTTCCCCCACACGCAACACATCGCAACACCAATGCCTCCTTCTCGCAGCGTGCGAGCTCCGGCCAGGGACTGGTGCCATCCCGAACACTCAAGAGGAGGTAGACCTTCTCCTTCCGCAGAACTGAAACAAAACAGCATGGAAGCAGACTCAGCTCGGACCCCGGTTGAATCCGAGCGTCGACAACGGAGTCCCGAAACTGAGCCTCAAGGTCAAGACAAGATCGGATACGTTTGTGTGTGCTTCTTGCACAGAGAGAGAGAGAGAGAGAGAGAGAGAGAGGCAGGCGGGTTTCTGGGCAAGCAGCTCCCAGGATGCGGGCACAACTCGGCGTCTTGGCCAGCACCATCGCACCGCTGGTGTCGCAATCCAGACGATGCACGGTGTGCGGCAAAGTCCCACAGTGGGAGAGGGCCTCGCGAATCATCGCAGCTTGCAAAGGAAGGCGGACAGCGGAAGGCAGAAGAGGAAGGGAAGGCACCTGATTGAGCAAAGCTCCCCCACGGTAGCGATTGGGCGGCGACACCGGAAGACCTGGAGCCGCCCAGTTGCCGCGTGGTTCGGTGAAGGATCTACAGGCGAGACATCAGGGGCCTGCAGGCTTCGCAACGATAAGCAAGTCTTCGTCTTCCATCAAAACTTCCAACGCATCCGCATCCGCAACCAACGGGATACATCGAAGCACTTGCTGGATGGTCTTGACCTGTGTGACATCGCAATCCCCAGGACACTACGACCTCCACGCAGCCATGTTCACCGAGGCACTCGCGACAAGATGAACCTTGACACCGAGCTTGGCAGCAATCTCCTGTCGAGCTGGGAATGCTTAGGGGGTAGCTTGCCTTCACCTTGACCATGCGCAGCTGGGACTTGGAGCGCTGCAACGGGTCAGGTCTGATTTTCTCATGGAGAGGAGTCCAAGGTCTGGCTTCAGTTGCCCATCAGGCTACATCTGCCGGAATGGGTCTCAACTTTCGTCGAAAATTGCTGCGGGACGTCGCCACAAGAGCGGTCAGACCGCGTCTGTGCACATCCCGGATTTCCTGACAGGGCGAAGGACGGAAGACGGCTCTGGAGTTCACTGTGAGCATCAGGCCTTCAAAGGAGGGCCTCCGTAGAGAGCTCGATTAGTCTTCCTTGGACCTGTGCTCACTGCCCTTTCCGAATTTCCCTGCGATAGCGGTGCGCCGGACCGGGTCCCGGGCCTGTGGATGTACTTGACATGAAGGTTCAGTGCATGATCCTCGGACCACACACTCTCCTTAGGGCCTAAGGGCAAGCTCTGGGACTGCGGCAGTGTCGAAGCTCTGGCTGCACTCCTCCAGCTAAGATCATGTCAAGAGCACTGCCCTGCCCAGCTCAGCTGTGCGATGCCTTGCACTTGAAGGCTTGGTCGCTGCACTTCGGCCCTTGGGGCTTGGCACGGACCACGCTCGGGCGCAAAGGGGCCGGAGGCACCTGAGAGCGGCTACGCCGCTACGCACACGGCCGCACGCGTGGATGCGAAGCGCGAGGCTCGCCAAGGCCAAGGCCTCCGGCACCTTCGGTTCAGGGAGCACCATCGCGGCAGGGTCGGAAGAGGCGGAGGTGCAGGTGCGGGTGCTGTTTTGAGAGCAAATCTCCCATCCAGAATCGAAGAGAAGTACTAGAAGGCCTAGAGGCCTAGCAAGCATGCTGCAATCTTCTCACGAGTCTGCTTGCTGGCTCAGCTCAGTCCAGCGGAAGAAGCGGCTGGGAATCGGCCTCACAGATATGGCACCGTGCAGCAGGCAGCAGGAGATGTTGTTCCTCGCTTCCGGAGCCTCGCCCCAGCCGAAGCGGAGGTCCAAAATGCGTTGCGCAGTCTCTGCGAGGCTTTGTCCCGAGAGCGCTTCCTGCAATGCTTCGGCCAGGCACCCCAGAAGCAGCGCAAGGAGTGGCACAGCATCTCAGCACCTTTACGTAAGTGTTGCCGAACATCGCCCATGCCTCTAAGATGATTTGATCACACACAGCATGCTATGGCCACATCTGCAGGCCTCTGGATCGAGAAGATCGGGGCAGCAGTGGGCCATGTGACCTTTGCCTCAGACCGCTGGTCTGTCTATGAGGGCCCGCGCCCACTCCACTCCCGCTCAGGACACGACAATTCTGCATTCTGCAAGCACATGCAGGGCAAACAGGCATCCTGAGGTAGACTCTGCCTTTGTAAGCCTGTGACTTGTCCAGTGTTTGCGCTCCGACTCGCAAACTCTCGAACTCCAAACAGGAAGCCCCAAACCTTAAAACCAGAAGCTTCAAAACCCACAGCCCTCCCGCCCTGAACGCTAAAGTCCGGAGAAATCTCGGATCCATCTTAAGCTCGGAGAAGCAAAACAGCAGGAGCCCTACCGTGCCAGACCGGGATGGTGCAGGTTTCAGAAAGCTTCTTCTATTGCAGCACTCCACGTCTCCTGTCGAGGGTGGGCGACAGTAGGATTTATGTACATAAGACGTGCTACCATATCTTGTGTACGGTGTCAGCTAGGATATACGAAAGAAGCTGCACTCATCAGATGGAGCCGGCATGGCCGACTCAGATTCGAAGCGCCACCGGCACGGGACGGTCAATGCTGGAATGGCCCAGTAATGCATACTGGGAGTCCTGCGCAAACTCAGCACAAATCATGATTTTCCAGCATCTCTCGGAAGGTCTTGGTCCTTCTCCTGTACGACGACATCTAGGTTCATCGGAGTCACCCCATGCTGCGGCTGGCAGGTTGGATCCAATGGGCTGTGTGCGCCATCGTTCCGACAGGTGCTGGAAGCCAGGGCAAGGGACAGATCGTACCTCGGAAGAAAGGATGCGAAACGACACTAGCACCTGACATCGACAACCTAAATCAACTTCATTCTCAGGTTAAGTTCCCGGCACTATGCCCTCGAAGTTGTTCTTCTTCTCAGCCCCCAGAATAGCAACCGGGACAAGCATGTAGATGCTGTTCCTTGGACCCGAGCGATGACGCGGCAGCTTTGAAAGCTGCAGTCGGAAGTCGAAAGTTTAGGTGCAAACAAAGTGGCAGTTGCCCATTCAACAACTGCACGGCTTCTTTGACCACAGTCTGAATATCTTTGCTGTCCAGCGCCACATGGTGCCCAGCTGAGCTGCAAACACCTGCCGGCCTCACACCCAAGAAAGGGGTTGTCGGCGTCTCCTTGCAGCGTAGTCCGGCAGCACAACTTCCGTGGGTGTTGCAGGTCCCTCCACATTTGGCACCTTCGGATAAGCCCACAGGAGCACCCTGAACAAGTTCCGGCGGGCACACGATGGCAGCGACACAACCGATCAGGTGGGCAAGCAGCAGCCCTTGGAAAGACGACCCGGACATCATCCGAGAGTTCTCGCAGGCAGCTCTACCAGCACAACTGAGTCTAAGCCGGAATCAATGCCGGGCCCTACGGTTGCAGCGATCGTCGTGCACTGGCATGGCAAAGACACCTCACACAGTGGAGCAGTAGCTCTGCAGCAAGGATGAGATCATGCAGGCTGTTTCGCGCAGTGTCCACCCTGAGAAAACTGGATTCTTCGGAAAACAGAATACCCAGAAGCTCGCCAACATGGCTGTTCGGATGCTAGGAGTTTCTGGGAACAGCAAAAAGGCCAGCCAAAGCCCATGGCCCCTCACACAAGAGATCCGGCTCCGGCCGAGCTTGGCGTGCCGTGCAAGACTGGCGCTTTGATCAGACTTCTCTGATCTCAAGCACACCTGTACAATGACAAAGCTCCCTTCGCAAAGGTGCTCTCGAAGCGCCAAGTCCCTAGACTCGGCAGACTCTTTAAACAGTCCCACGTTACGGAAAGAAGGTCTGGACGAAGAAAATGTTGAGCACGACATAGAACCTAGGTTAACACACCTGCATGCTGGGCCTACATGAAGCATCTCCACTCATTGCTGTGTCTGCCAAGAGGCATTGTTATCAGCAAGCGGACAACACGCCAGTCAGTAGCAGGGCTAGTCAGGTAGGCCTGAAAAGCGCGATCGGTGCAAGCATCGATGGACGCCATCGCCTGACATCTGGGTTCACCATGCACTTCCGTATCCAAGCAGTGGGTTTATTCTGCAGTGAAGCCATAAATAGCAACTGAACGTCTTTCAATGCATCCGGGCAGCCATGGTGGCCCTGATGGACTCTGGCGACCAGTCGCCCTCGCGCTTCGTTTCCATGATCTTCGCAAGCTCTTCGTCAAAAGAGGACGAGCTCCCGGGTGTGAAGAGTCGAGCCTGAAGCGAGGCACTGCACTGGGTGATCGCAAGATATCGCAACGATAGAGACTTCGTGAAAAGCTGTTTTGCTTGCAAAGAGGCGTTGACACCGTGCGAAAGATACATGGCATATCCTTGAGCGTTGGCCGCCAGCATCGGAGTGCCACAACTCAGGGCTTCCATGGCCTTTTGAAACTGCAGCTGCATGCAATGATCAATGGTTACACGACATTTCATGATTGCATGAGAGCTAGACCGAACTTACCACAGATCCGTCCCCTAATGTGGACTAAGACTCGGTGAAGCCAACTGTCTCCATTGTGCTTGCGGACACGTGGAGATCAGCAGCACGGAAACACAATGCCACCTCCTCTCGACTGGCCATATCACCGGTGCAATACCTGGTTCCACAGCATTCGACACTAGCTGCTTAGCACTGTATGATGCTTCGTCTTCTGGCACATGCAATGACACAAAGCAATGGCCAATCAGGCTGAGGATGCAAGCGATGGTCGGGCCCGTGGAACTGCTTCAGCTCCGGCACCATAGAGCCCGGACCGATCAGCGCCAAATACACATTTTTGGGGGCACGCTTGTGGGCGTCTACCAAAAACTGAATGTCCTTCTCGGCTGTAACCCGACCAACGTACACCCAGAGGTACGCCCTTTCCGCTCCGAAAGTCAATCTTTTGCGGACAGCCTGGACCTGCTCCTCTGGCAAGTCGATCCGAAAAGTCTCGCGGTCGACCATGGGACCCCAAATCACAGGAGCGACACGCTGCTCGGCAACTCCAGCATTCCGTAAGATAACCAGGGACTGCTTGGACACCGGAAAATACGTGGCTCCCGACAAAGCCCAATTTCTGTAACCCCAATACACCATGCGAACTGAAAACCAGGTATGCAATTGTCCAAGGAAACCATTCAATGAAGAGAAGTTCTCATCCCGAGCAGCGATCTGAGCAACATCTGTGTGGAGAGAAATCAGCAAAGGCACATTGCAAAAAGCACATGCTGCAGCCATGACTTGCATGGAAGCTTCCTGTGTAGCATGCACTAGATCTGGCTGCACGCGCTGAATCAATGCGATAAGCGTCCTCAAGTTGAAAAACGAAAGGTCCATGCACATGTTCTTTCTGTAGACTGGCGTCCGTGCGGTTTGGAGTGTTACATGCTCAACGCCGTCCACCACCTCAAGCTTAGGCACGGTCGGGTTGTCGGGAAGTAAAAAGTCTGGCGTTACCAGTGTAACCTTCACCCCACGCTTGACCATGGCACGCACGTGCGCCATCATTCGGATTGCCACCCCATCAACTTGACCCGGAAGCCATGAATGCGAATAGACGAGGACGCTTCCAGGACCAGCATGTCCGGACTTTGCCATGGCTGCGCTCCGGAAACAAGCGAGGTAGGGCTGCCTTAGCTTCGTCTGTCCGAACGTCAGCTGATCTCTGATCCACTTCATGCATGTCTGACATGCAATGTACTCAGCATGGTGATGCGGCCAAAATGCTGTTGGGCAGAACACCCATGAAATCGAGGGATGTTGAACAGAACACATGCAAAGTTGTTCCATCAAGCATTGCAGCGTGTGATGTCTATGTTTTTCCAAACGACGCAAACGTTGCTCGTTTACTTGTGCGGAGCTAGTGACCGGGCTGAGTAGTTGGCACGCCATGCGGTCATGGGTAGTTGGCACGCTTTCGGCTGGCGGTCGCTACGCGGTCACTATGCCCCTATGTTGCATCTACAGCTCCTCGTCATTACGCCAAGTTCCCCCGCAAGTGCCCCGCAGGTCGCCCTGCCCACCTCCCCGCCAAAAGAAACAAAAGTGTCAACAGCGGCTTGCGGCGCAGCAATTGAAATGCAGGCTAACGGTATAAGAAACTCTTAGTCCTCCGGGTTTAATCGCAAACATCATATTTATATTTATATTTATATTTATATTTATATTTATATTTATATTTATATTTAAATATATGACAAAAAAACTCGAATCAAGTCCGTCTGTTACATAGAAGGTGACAACCTAAAGGCTTCATGTTTCAAATGGGCTCATGCTTCATTCACAAAAAACTATGTTTCTTTGCATATCACCAATCCAATAATAAAATATAAATCGAAATGAGACTTTCTGCAGTCTAGAGAGCTTACGAAGTGCATCATGCGAATCGTGAAACTCACAGACTGACTCGTCACTCGATCACAAATGTTTTATCTTTTCGGATTGGCAAAGCCTCTTGGGGTAAGATGCATACTCATCGATCTGTTCGGGATCCTTTTTCCTTTTCTCTTAATTTGCCCTTCGGCCAATTGCCCTTTTGGGTTACACCGAAGCGTCTTTCACCCCGCAACGTTTGGGTGGGAGCGGTGGGTACAAACTTTGCTGCACGGAAGGTCCTGCCCACCCACCCACTTTCTGTTTGAGCAATGCACGGACATGAATCGTTCAAGTGGGTATCACACCGTGCAACAGAAATGGCTACTGAAGCAAAGCTAAATAACAATACATGTGCGCACACTGACGAGTCTCCCTTTTCTCGGCTTGCCGGAAGGTGTCCGCATGTCTGTGAAAGGCCGAAGCAGATATATGTCATCGACGGCCAAAGAGTAAAGTAAAGCAAAAGCAATGCGGTCACCTTATGCCCGGGCAGAAAACTGGCAAGCCGAGACCTCGCCAAGAAAGCCCCGGGAAGAACGTGAGGTCGAAGCAGCTATTTGCGCTTGCTTGAAAGCCGGCCGGAAGGGCCAAGAGTAGTAGCTGGTGGCAGCTCCCATAATAGAAAAGTGTTCGGCGGGAAAATCGAAGCGGTGAAACGCAGGCTCCAGAATTCCTCCAGTGAGACATGAATGCGCTCACTTGGCTCAAAGCATGTCGGGAGAGGTGCAAAGCCATCCCATCTTGAAAGCAGATCTGCATGATCGTTCTTTTCACCGGAGATGTGAGAGCAATCCAAGCTGATGCCCGTAATTGAGCTCCACATTGACAGCTTGCGTACAAAAGAATTCAGCGGGACCCTTGAAGTGTAAAGCTTATTGCATACAGATTCAGCTCCGCTGTTATCACTAAGGGCCGGTAACTTAAGAGCCAAGCGACCTGAGCCTTGCGATTTCCAGAAAGCGAAAAGTATGAAGCACTGTGCCAACGTCTCATAGCTGGAAATGTCCAGGTTCGCGTC